CTCCAAGCTGCAAACCCACGCTTTTTGGACCCACCACCAGGACAGTTTTAGGATAAACAGGGAAACAGGTAAGCGAACAAAGATGGACTCTTCAGTCTCACCTCCAGCTTCACCCCCCCCCCCAAGAAACCCAATCCCAGGTTATAATGAGAGAGGAAGTGAATGTGTGGGGAACCTGGAGAGAAGAAAGACGCTGTTGTTTTGTCTTTCCTGTGTTGGGAGTCTCTGGGCTTTTATTTTCCTTCGATGTCAGTCTGTGTTTGGGGAACTGGGCCGGTTTTTGTGGATTGGTTTTGTCGGGATTGAGCCTGTTCGCCACTGAAAAGAAGAAAGACACATTTTGTGATAGAGCCTGGAAAAGGGAATGTCACTTTTTGTCGGTTTATTTCCCCCCTCCCACTGAATTATATGGCAAAACTCCTGTTTTTTGCCCTGACTGATCCCGTTGTTTTTATCCACGCAGCCCTGCTGGAAACACACCCAGTGGAAATGGTGTCACTGCCTATTGTTTCGGGGCGACTCTCTCTGGAAACAGACGTTTCCCCTCTTTCTCCTCCTCTGTTTTGCCGTGTGTTCTGCTCTGCCTCTGCCTTCTTCTCTGAATTATTCGACCCCACCCCCGACCAAAAAAAAGGGGGAGTTTGTCATACTGTATTTGCATGGATGTGTCAAACGTTGGCTGGGACCTATATATCTGATTCCCTTCCCATAAATAAGTGGGATGACAATCCAGCAGATTCGGGCATTGGGTTTCCGTGCCTTGGACACTTTGCATGTTTCTCTAGAATTCGCCCAGCTCGGTGAGACTTGCTCCCTAATTTAAACCTTGAGGAAGCAAGTCCCACCGAGCTCTCTTCAATCTGAATCAGGAAGCCCATTCCGTGCTGTATTTTGGGCCGGTGACTATTGAGGTATCAGGTGCAATAGTTGCATGGTTGCTTGACTGAGTCGGCATCAGAAACTCATGTGAATGCGAGATTCAAATCCCTCCCTATTTTAAAATTTGCCACTTTTAAATATGCTACTTCAATATAGAGGGTTAGTACGGAACCTGCGTTATATAGCTCTGAGTCCACTTCGGGGTGAGAAGGGCGGCATATACCTGTCATAAATAAATAGATGCATTTATTTATTAACCATATTTATATACCGCCTTTCTCAGCCCGAAGGCGACTCGGAGATATATGACCCAGGTTCGGTAAATAAATAAATATTTGTGCCCCGTTTACACTGGCCACTCAATGCGGTTTCAAACCGGTTTAACTGTAAAGATGATTAGGAAATCCTTGATCTGGATGGTGATTTTAGACAAATCACAAAGCACTGCTGCACATTGAGAGCACTTTTGGAGGAGTTTAGTGGCAATTTGAAGCTAGCCCCGAACTACATTAAATGGTCAGTGCAGATGGGGCCTTAGTCAGATGGTAGTGGTCCTACTGTGTCTACTTACGCAGTAGTAAATCCACACTCAATTCAGTGGAGATGCAAAGTCCCTACAAGTTTCGGCGAGGAGTCAAGAGGAGGGAAGGTTCTCGGAACCACCTTTGTGTCTCTGTCTTCTATAGGGATGTATAAATAGAAGTAGTACACCTATGCAGGACAGAAAGAGAGGGGTCTACATTCTCTTGACTCTTGCCTTCACCAATCCCACTCATTCCCGCTTCAAGCTTCGGGGCTGACAAATTAGTCATTTGAATCCAATTACGGCAAAAGGCATTTCATTTCGCCACGGGACAGGAATCTCTCTCCCTGGCGTGGAACTTCACCGAAAATATCCAGAATTTTTCTCTCTCTGTGGGGTCTCTAGGATAGGCCCCTGTCCGACTCCGTGGGGTTCTGAGCCCCAGAAAGTGGGTGAAGGACGGGTTTGTATTTTTGGGTGGGTTGAAGGTTCTCTTTTTTAGCTTCGTTGAAGCATAGAATAACCTCCATACTTGGTTTATGGACTGTCCTTTCTCCAATCACAAGCTTCCTACCTTTTACACCTAGTCCTTTCCCTGCTTGGAAAATATTTATATCCCTCTTCTACTGTATTTTTTACCAATGTATTGTCGAAGGCTTCTAGCCGGATCACTGGGTTGTAGGTTTTTTCGGGCTATATGGCCATGTTCTAGAGGCATTCTCTCCTGACTTTCGCCTGCATCTATGGCAAGCATCCTCAGAGGTAGTGAGGACCTCACTACCTCTGAGGATGCTTGCCATAGATGCAGGCGAAACGTCAGGAGAAATGCCTCTAGAACATGGCCATATAGCCCGAAAAAACCACAAGAACCTTTTGATAATTCAATTTTTGCCTTGGCTTCTTTCTCTCTCTCCCTTTCTTTTCCAAAGACAACAAACCGCTTTCCTCATCAGCATTTCCTTCCCTTGAATCCCTTTGCAGCCTTATTGGTGCTGCAAAGGGATTCAAGAAGTCGATAATTAATTAGGCACAAAATGAAAACTTACCCCGTTAATCAAGAACAAGGTAACAATGACTGGCTTTCGCAAAGAATGGTCCTTCCGCTCAGGCGCTTCTGTGTGATTGTGCCCCCCCCCCCCAAAAAACCCCCATCAGGCCGCCTTCTCCCTGCAGTTTACGATTTCCTTCTTCATACTGTACTAATTTCTAAAAAGGGGAGGCAGAAAAATAAATAATTCCACGTCCTGCGGGGTCGGGACAGGCCTTGGAGGAGCCGGGCTGAGACAGTGAGCAGCTCTCTCCGCCTCCCTCAACCCCGAGGGGAGGCAGAAAAATAAATAATTCCACGTCCTGCGGGGTCGGGACAGGCCTTGGAGGAGCCGGGCTGAGACAGTGAGCAGCTCTCTCCGCCTCCCTCAACCCCGAGCCCTTTTGCCGGCTTGCCCCCCAGGAAAAGCCGTCTCGGAAGCGGGGAAGAAGGCTTGCTGCCTGCCTGGCCAGCTGAGCAGGGAGAAGGCGAGCCCAGAAGGAAGCCGGGAGCTCGCTTGGGCTGCCAACTCTTGGAGGGGCCTTCCGCTGGTTGTTCATTAAGTGGTGAGTTATTGCCGCACGAGCCAAAGGTCACTGCAAAAGGCTTAGGTTTCAGAGATATGCTCTTTTTATAATGGCCTCGGCTTCATTGTGGGGAAGAGTCCCCCCTCACTCCCCCCATTCTTCCAAAAAGTTCTTAGCTGGCAGATTCAGGTGTACAAAGAAGGATGTGTGGGGCGCTGGGCCCAATAGGTCTTATCTGGAATGTATTTTATCTATACCGATCTGTGTCTGTGTATTCGCCCTTATTCTCACACTCAGGACCCTTCCACACAGCCCTATATCCCAGAATATCAAGGCAGACAATCCCACATTATCTGCTTTGAACTGGAATATATGGCAGTGTGGACCCAGATAACCCAGTTGGGGGGGGGGGGGTTTCTGCCTTGATATTCTGGAGTGTGTGGAAGGGCCTTCTACCAGCCAAGCACAGTTTCAGTGCTGTTTAGGATAGCAACAGCAAACCAAAGGAGGTATGCACTGCCTTCTACTCAGGCTGGATCAACTTTGCCAAATAATGCACTCCGAACGACATTATATATAGATTCTTGTGGGTTTTTTCGGGCTATAGGGCCATGTTCTAGAGGCATTTCTCCTGACGTTTCTCCTGCATCTATGGCAAGCATCCTCAGAGGTAGTGAGGTCTGTTGGAATTAGGACTGTGTCCAGACTTGTTCATCTGGTGCTCTGCTATGGCTGACTTCTCTATATATACATTATATATAGTCAGTGTAGACTGATATAATGCCTAAGGCCCCTTCTACTATTGCCATGTAATCCAGATTATCAAATCAGATAATCAACATTATTTTCTTTGAATTAGATTTAATAATAATAATAATAATAATAATAATAATAATAATAATTGACTAATAATAATATTGGGTTGTTGTAGGTTTTTCGGCTATGGCCATGTTCTAGACGCATTCTCTCCTGACGTTTCGCCTGCATCTATGGCTAGTCAGGAGAGAATGCTTCTAGGAACATGGCCATATAGGCCGAAAAACCTACAACAGTGATTCCAGTGATTCCAGCCATGAAAGCCTTCGACAATAATATTATTATTAATAATATATGAGTCTACACTTTATGAGTCTTTATTTTAATAATAATAACATTAATAATATATGAGTCTACATTTTATGAATTTATATTTAATAATAATAATAATAATAATAATAATAATAATAATAATAATAATAATAAGAGTCTACACTGCCGTGTAATCCAGTTCAAAGCAGATACCCTGGATTTTATATGGCAGTGTAGATGGCTCTTAAAATGCCGGAAGGAAGCGCTTCGTGGCTTCAGTGGGTCCTGGCCGGACTTTCCTCGAAGTTGCACAGCCAATGCATTATGGATGGATGGCCCTCAGGTTATGGCGGAGTTCATCCTGCCATCTTTCCTTTGAACAAATGGCTTGTGCCTTGACTCTCAACTCACCCTCCTGCCCTAAGGATCTGAGGGATCTCCCTTCGGCTACAAAGTTCCTCCTCTCCACAACCCTCTGTTTCCCTTCCAGTCTCCATCCCACGCACATTACACAAGCAGAAGTGTGACCAACAGCTCTGTAAATCGCTAGCCTTCCTTGAGAAATGTTACTGGAAAAGAGGTGAGGGGCGACTTAGCAAGGAAGTGTTTGGATGTTAGGGCGGGTTGGGCCCACGCGAGTGTGTGGGTTGGCATACTGAGACCCGCAGCCACTTTCCAAAGCCTGCCAGTCGCCCTCATGTTTTTGGTGAAGCCCTTCCTAACTCTCAAGCACCTTCTTTTCAGCCAGGAAGGAAGGAAGTGAACTCTTCGGCTCCGGAGTCAAATAATGTCGCCCTTCCTCCTACAGTTGCCCCGGGAGGGCTCTCCGTTTTATGTCGCAAATGGGCGAGAGGCTATATCTGTGCCTGAAAGACATTGTTTCAAAGGACAGCTCTTATTTCTGGTGTCCATAAGTGGGGGGAGAAAGGAGAAAGAGATAGAGAGACTTCTACTGAGATTTCCCCCTTTGTTTCAGGTCCACCTCGTCGCTTTCTCCCACGGAAGCTGAAACCCCCACTGAAAGTGCGACAGATAAAAATCAAGGAAAAACGCAGTTGTGGTGAGTCCCCTCCCCACTTTAAAAACATGTCATGCCTACATTAGTGTTTACTTTTTTTTCTACACGTGGACTTTCGAAACCGAGAGTGGGGAGAATGTGAAGTGGATGATCCCTGTAAGGGTCTTAGTTATATGTTGTGACGCAAGGGGCTGCCGATTTTGAAAAAATGTGTCAATATTCCCTGGAAAATATTTGATGTGCATATAGGGGAGAAGTTATTGCCACAAAGGGTAGATTTTGGGGGGCTCAAGTTGGATTGCTATCAGGTCATTTGCGGGGATCATGATTGAAAGGGGGGATAGCCTTTGAGTCAAATGGTGGGCCAAAACGAGGCCGGGCCAGATCCCACCAAAAGTGGTGCCTTTCCTTTCAGTGGCCCTCTCCTGCTGTCCAATCAAGCGCTGAAAGAAACGGTAACTGCGGTTTACAGTAGGTACTTAAACGCCAGCCACTGGAACCAATTTGGCTTTTCTTTTTTAAAGTGCCGGATTAGTAGCTCCTTGGAGTCCGTTTATTCAGATCATAACTGTGTTGTAAACTGCGGGTTACTGGAAGCAAAGTGTTGACCAAGAGGGAGGGAAGTGGGGGAGGGAGGGAGGGAGAGAGGGGGAAAGGGACGGCAGACACCCCATTCATAAGGCCGGCTCCAAACGTACAAACTCATCACACCGAATTACACAACCGCCTCGGCCAACCCGGCAGCGGCAGCCCAATGATACAGGAGGGCGGTGATGGAATATGGCAGTTATGGTCTATTTACATCCATCACCCATTTCTCTCCAAGCAGCCCTCCCCCAACAAGAAAATAATCGCTCATTTCCAGAGGCTTCCTTCCTTCCTCCGTCCCTTCCTTCCTTCCATCCAGTTCTCCCCAATAAGAAAAGAATCACTCCTTTCCAGAAGCTGGCCTGTCTCCTTCCTTTCTTCCTTCCCTCCTTCTTCCTTCCTTCCAGTCCTCACCAAGGAAGTAAAGAATAGCTCATTTCCAGAGACTGGCTTCTCCCACCCCATCCTCCCACCTTTCCTTCTTTTTCCTTTAATTATTTCCCTTCCCTTTTTTCTTCCTTCCTTCCTTTTTCTTTTTCTTGCTTTCTTTTCCCCCCTCTCTCTCTTGCTGCCTTTGGCCCTGCGCTTGCTGTCTGTTTCTATCCTTGTTCTATCTTCTTTTCTTCCTTCTTTCTCTCCCCTCCCCCTTTCTCCCTTCCTTTTCTTGCCTTATTTCTCTCCTTCTTTTTTTCCTTCTTCCTTTCCTTCTTTCCCACCTTCCCTTTTCCTTTCTTCCCTTTTCCTTCTTCCTTTCCTTCTTCCCCTCCCTCCTTTTTTCTCTTCTTTCCTTTTTTCTTGCTTTGTTTCTTTCCTTCTTTCTCTTTCCTTCCATCCTTCTCCCCCTCCCCCTTTTTACCTTTTCTTTCTCTGCTTCCTTTTTTCCTTAGTTATTTCCTCCTCCCCTTTCCTTCCCTTTCTTTCATTCTTTCTCCATTACTCGTTTTCTTTCTTCTTTCTTTCCTTCATTCCCATTTCTCGTTCCTTCCTTCTTTTTTCTTTCCTTCTCCATCCTTCCCTTCATTCCCTCATTTCTCCTTGCTTTATTTCCTTGCTTTGTTTCTTTCCTTCGTTCTCCCTTTCTTTCTCTCCCTCCTTTCTTCATTCTTTGCTTCTCCCTCCCATTTTCCCCTTCCCTTTCTTCTTTCTTTCCTTCACTCCCTCCACCCTCCTTCCTTCCTTCCTTCCTTCTCGGCGAGTCCAGCTCTTCAAACCCGCTGAGTCCTGTCTCTCGCCACAATTCGGAAAGGCCTCTTCGTTCAGCCGAAGTCTCTGCCTCTGTCTCTCTCTCTCTCTTTCTCTGTGTGTGCTGCCTTTTCTCTTGCTTTGCTGTCCCTCTGTGTCCAAAGGCGCCCTTTTCCTATCTATCTTAATATATCCCACTGGCGGGCCTTTCGGTGGCCCTTCTCGCGCCGCCGCCGCCCTCCCTTCCATCCCTCCCTCCCTCCCACGCGGCCTGTTTTACACCGAGTGGGGCCGGGGCCCTTTCTTCTCCTCCTCCTCCTCCTTCCCCCCTCCCCCCTCCCCCTCCGGCCCCTCCTTCCCGGCTTTCATTCCTCTCCGGAGCGCTTTCTGCCCTCGCGCCCGCAGTCATAAATTTTGCCACCGGGGCCCTCCTGACAGGTGCATTGATATGCGCTGTGAGAAAGGACCCCGGCTGCTTAATAAGAACCCCTCCTCCGGCCTCTCGGACTGCCTTTTATTTATTCGGTATCATATTAGATATTGATTCCCCGGCAGAATTAAGTGTAGTGGGCGCATTAGCGGAGGACTGGCTTCATATGAATAATATAATATAAAATTGGGGGGGGGGGGGGGAAGAGAATCCGGATCGAACACAATTCGCAGAACTTCTCTGGCTGTTTTTTTGTTGTAGTAGTTGTTGTTCCTTTACCTCCACGTGGTGAAAGGAAAGAGAAGAGGAAGACGCTGTATTTTGGAGCCCTCCCTCCTCCAGAGTCACTTTGATTCCTAGAGATTGTTTCAGTCTTTAGAGAGGGAAGAGAGAGACGGGGAAACAAAGGGATACATTACTCTCTGCCTCGTGGCACAGCGGTTCAGGCGAGGTTAACCTTATCGCACTAGAGAATGAATCCACTTTAAATCTGCCTCCTGCAGAATTCTGGGGTTTGTAGTTTAGAGAGGGGCCTTTAAACTACTCAGAAAGAGAGAGGTTCTGGGCCTCACTAATCTACAAACCTCAGAAATCTGCAGGAGGCAGCAACCGGATTTAAAGTGGATCCATGCTCTAGTGCAGTGGTTCTTGCACTTAAAATCCGGTTTCTGCCTCCTGCAGAATTCTGGGGTTTGTAGTTTAGGGAGGAGCCTTTAACAGCCTCACTAAACTACAAACCTCAGAATTCTGCAGGAGGCAGAAACCGGATTTAAACTGGATTCATTCTCTAGTGTGAGGAAGCAGCTCAGGAAGGAAATCCAAAACACAGAAGTGGATATTTTGCCACTCAGCCTCCCACGCTGGCTAGTAACAATTTGGGGACTAGTCGCCAAAGCATATATGTATACAATATGCGTTTGCGTCGCCTGCAAACATACAAAATCGAACCAAAGCCCATAACCAGAAAAACAAGAAAAAAGGAAAAGTGGAAGGGTTTTGTTTTGAGACGAAAAGGAAGAAAAGGGGAAAGTGGGAAAGTGTGTGTGTGTGTGTGTGGTGGGGAAGATCTAAAAGATGAGCCACCAAACAGTAGAGCATTGTCCATGTGATTTATGGCCCTTTGCCTCCTTTTTAGGTTCAAGCAGAGTTCACAAGCCTCTGGTATTTCAGAAAAGGAATAAAGCTTCTCAGTTTTGAGGCAATATTCGCTCAGAGAGGGTCGTTTGCAGAGATCTGGTTTTGGTCAATGGGAAAAAATGGTCGTCGTTGTAAAGCTGGAATAAACAAAAAAACACTGCTTCAGAAATGGATGGGGATTTTTTTATGCTTATAGGTAGATCGTTTGGGAATAAATAAGTCCTCAAAGGTTATTAATGTGTGGATAAATGGAAGGTAGTTCTGGCCTTGCTGTTGTTCATCATCCTCCCCCCTTCGACTCTCCCTTTGTTCCTTAACAAAATCCGAGCATTTCCTGACCATTTGGTCTCACTTTGCAGAACTGTGCATGTGTGGGCAGATACATGCATTTGGAAACCAAGAGCCATTCTTCTTGTGTTAAAAGTGAGCTGTAGTCCAGAAAAAAAAAAACCCAACTCCTGCCAAAATAAATCTCCTGGAAGGTGCCACAAGACTTCAGTTGTTCTTGCTGCAACAGACTCACTCCTCTGGAAAACCAACATCCAAGCCTGTTTTACTTGACTCATTATATAATAATTGATGTATTTAAAATTGGAAAAAAAAGCATGAAGAAACTTTCTGGGACATACAATACTTTCCTTCCCTTAAAATGAAGAAGAAATCTCTGAACATAGGTTGCTATGTGCTTTCCGGGCAGAATGTCCCAGAATCATTTTCTCCTGACGTTTTGCCTGCATCTATGGCATACATCCTCAGACATTCACGCCTACCTCAATCAGACAAGAGTTCTTTGTCCCACCCTGGACATTCCACTACATATATAAACCCAATTTCCTAGTTTCCAACAGACCTCACAACCTCTGCCATAGATATGGGGGAAATGTCAGGAGAGAATGCTTCTGAAACAAGGCCACACAGCCAGGAAAATACACAACAACCCAGTGATTCTGGCCATGAAAGCCTTCGGCAATACAAACCTCTGTAAACTTCCTAGGGGAGCTGGAGTATTTTTCAGGGTAAAATAGTGTCACTAAATTATAACAAATGTATTTATTTATTTATTTATTTATTTATTTACTGCTTTTGGGCGGCTCACAACAAAGGCACAATTTGATGCCATGAATATATATAGAATAAAACAACATATAATTTAAAATCACATAATCACATAATTAAAACATATCACACTTAAAACAATTACTTAAAACCACATAATACAAAATCATATTCCAGGAGAAATTCCGGTTGTCACTTGCATTATTCATTATTGCACTGAGAAATCATTATTGCACTGGGAATCATTGTCCAAAGGCTTGGTCCCACAACTTCCTTCCTGAAGGATGGAGGACGCTGATCTAAATAGGCAACCCCCCAAAACAAACTGAGAATAGTTTAATGGCAGATGTGATACATGATCAATTTAACCATATCCATAACATATATAAGTTATTACTGGGGAGGTATGTGCCTTCAAGTTACCTCAGCAGTAATTTTAACAGATTCCTCCTTTGAAATATAGTGTATCACTATTTTTAAAGCCCTGTGGCGTCATAGGGATTCATTTCTATTGTGGTGGTAGGGGAATGAGCCTTGATTTTGCATGAGTGGTTTATGTGATCCTAAGATGATTTGGGTTGCTGTGAGTTTTCCAGAATTGTATGGCCATGTTCCAGAAGCCCATCTCTATGGCAGGCATCCTCAGAGA